GGTTGCACCCATGCTTAGCTGGTGAAAGCGGGGGGCTTTTTTTAGGGGCATTCATTTTTAGACTGGGCTGTGATCCAGGGCTGCCTTTGGCTCCTTTTACAACATTCTGGTTTCTTCCGAAGCTATCTTAGGCTGCTCTGTTTGTGGCATTCTTAAGTGGTTGTTTTTATAGCTTTTTTAGTTTTCCTTCTAATTTGCTGTGTCCCTGGGAACCGGAACACACACCTCATTCGAATTTGCATAAACAGAATCGGCAGACCCTGAAGGAGGGGAGGCCCAGGGCCCTTCCCCGGAGCTCCCAGGAGGGCATGGACCATGTCTGTTCCGACGGTTCCCAGGCCTTTTTCCTGGCCTTCTGCAGGGTGGGGGAGCGTTCCCCCAGCACCCTCACCTGTTTTCTCTGCCTGCATTGGGGGACAAGGGCGGGGTGATGTTTCATAAAGATTGCCTTTGGCAAGGAGGAGTCCAGGTGTAATGGTTTTCAAGCGCATCAACTAGGCAACTGGGTACCTAAGTGTGAAATACACCAAAAACAGGTGTTTGTGAGCCCAAGAGGATCATGGGGTTGGGGGGGAGGAAAGGGAACAATCACTAAAACATGTCTGCCAGACTAGACTCTTAAAACTTTTCAGTGAAGTCTTCCAAACGTAGTGAAAAGGAAAAAGGAAAATTGAAAGGATGTCTGTGTTCCCAGTACCCCACCCCCTTTAGTAATGATAATGACCTATAGTTACTATTCTGTTGTCATAGCTACATTAACTATAGTTAACAACACTATATCGTATTATTAATGCTGCATTACATTATGATACCATATATACAACTATATTAACTACAGTTAATCATATCGCATTGTCTATTTTTTTATTTTTTAAACATATTTTATTGATTTTTCACAGAGAGGAGGGGAGAGGGATAGAGAGCTAGAAACATTGATGTGATACATCGACCAGCTGCCTCCTGCACATCCCCCATCGGGGATGTGCCTGCAACCAATGTACATGCCCTTGACCATAATCGAACCTGAGACCCTTCAGTCCACAGGCCGACACTCTATCCACTGAGCCAAACCTGTTTTGGCTGCATTGTCTATTTAAAAGTTGCCAGGAGTATATAGATCTGAAAAGGCCTCATCACAAAAAAATTTTTGTAACACTGACACAAAAATTTAATCATGGATGGTGATGGATGTTAATTAGACTTATTGAGGCTATCTGTTTGCAATATATACAAATACCAAATCATTCTGTTATACACTGAAACTAACATAATATTCTTTGTCAATTATATCTCAATTAAAAAATCATATTTCCATACTGCTTTTTTTTTTTTTTTGCCTCAGAGTATAAAATAATAAGATGCTATCATGTATCATTACAAGCCTGCAGTGTTTCCCTCTCAGATCCTACCCTTCTCTCCTGGGGCACCCACCATCCTGACTGAATTTATAGCCTTGTTTCTTTCACTGCAAGTTTTTATTCTTTCAGTACATGTTTTTGTGTCCATTGACCATAAGAAGCATTCTTTTGCATGGGTACCCTCACGCAGGTAGCACAGTATTATACATATTCTTCCCTAACTTGCTTTTCTCCCTCACTATTATATTTATGAAAATTGGGCTTCTTGTCTCCGGTTCATTCATTTTTCACTACCGTTGAGCAGGGGTTGGCGAGCAATGGCCCCTGGACCAAATTTGGCCTCCTACCTGCTTTTGTAAATAAAGCTTTATTGGAACCCAGCCACGTCCTTTGTTTACGAATCTTCTGTCGCTGCCTTTGCACTACCGTGGGAAAGTGGAGTAGGTAAGACAAGCATCGAAGGGTTAGCAAAACCTCAAATATTTGCTGTCTGGTCCTTTATAGAAAATGTGAGTCCAGCCCTGCCGGTGGACTTCTGATGCAGCAATCTAGCACATTGTAGCTGTTCTTCTATGGGTGACATTTGGGCCATTTTAAAATTTTTAATATTTTACACACAGTGCTCGGTAGCACTTTCTCTTTTCCGCAAAATCTCCATAGAGCGGCTAGCTGGATGCTCATCTGCACCTTAAATTGGACTGAATGTCACTAAGCTGGCCTCCGAGGCGGACCCGCCAATTTGCACTCCCACCTGCTGTCTGTGAGACTTCCTCTCCCCGCACATCCTGCCAGCAGCCTGGCGTTCTCAGACCTTAAGCCGGGCTCCTGGTGCGGTTCACATGGACCTTCATTACAGGTCAGCGTGCTTTCAGGTCGCTGTTGACCATTGTCCTTGTGGGAGTTGCCTGCTCATCATATCCTCTGCCATCTCCCTACTGAGTTGCCTTTTTGCTTTGGAGTGACGGGAGTTTATGTATTCTGGCTTCTGATCCTTTCGGTTACATGTGTTAATACCCGCCAGTGACTGGGCCTTCGGTCTGGATTCTTTACCAGAGCTGTGTTTTATGGTCTGGTCAGCCTTAGTTCATCTTGAAGATATGAGCCATCTTAATAGACACATGCACACATATGTACACATGTTAGTAGCATGTGCCTATGCACACACACACACACACACACGGCTTCTTTTTCTTAGGAAGGCTTGCACCATCTACCTTTGTGAGAGTCCGAGGGTGAAGAAAAGGAAGTGGTCGCCAGCAGTGGCAGTGAGGTTGATAGAAAACAGAGTCACAGAGGCTTGCAATCAGCCGGTCTTGGAGCAATTCGAGTGGCCTCCCAAGGCTGCTCTTTAGAGCCGATGGTTGCCCTGGCTGTGGCTGTGCAGACGTGACGCGAAAGGTCCCAGGGAAGCTGAAGGCCACCGTGGTGGGGCAGGGAGGGTTTGGAGGGCTGCCTTGGACAGAAACCGGATGTGATTTGAGGTTTTGGGTTTCTCCGTTTTGATTTTGGCTGGAGTCAGACCTTGGTCTCAGCCCCATCACGTTGAACCATTCTGTGGGCCACAGCGATGTAGAGACTTACAATTCCCGTTTCCAGGCCAGAGTGGTTTTGTTGGGCACTGCACTGGACCGTCCTCTTCAGAACTGAGAGCCCTGGCTTCCCCTCCCCCTCCCAGACCTTGGACCTTTCACTTCAAACTTTCCCAGTTGAATCAAGAAGAACCCTGCGGCTTTTCGGGTGTGTGGACCCCGTGAATTCACAGTCCCTGCAGCCATGATCTCCGCCTGCCTTACTATGGCTCAGTGAGGTGCACAGGAAGACAGATGAGAGCTGTTGTCTTGCTGTTGCCCCAGGAGACCCAGTTCTCCTTGACCCCATCGCACTCTCCTGCCTGGGCTGGCCTCCCACTCTGGCGCTCTTCCCACTCGTGTCATCCAGGTGTGGGCTCAGTGCATCCCCATGTTCCAGGATGAGCCCCCTTCATCTTCACCAATTTGCTCCTTCAGAGAGCGCCACCTCCGGGCAGCCCTAGGGGACTGTTCCCCGTGCTGTGCCAGGTGCCAGACCGCCCTGCATGCTTCCTCACCTGTCCTCTCGGGTGATGCTCACATTAGTGCCGTCCGCAGCCTGGCCAGCTTCTTGGGCCTGTGACCAGCACGTCCTACAGGGCCTGTGCTTACCTTAGAAGGAAGGGAACCACCACGCTTGCTTTTACGCCCTGCACTTGCCTTCTTTTCTTTTTTTAAAATATATTTTATTGATATTTTCCAGTGAGGAAGGGAGAGGGACAGAGAGCTAGAAACATCGATGAGAGAGAAACATCGACCAGTTGCCTCCTGCACACCCCTTACCGGGGATGTGCCCGCAACCAAGGTACATGCCCTTGACCGGAATTGAACCTGGGACCTGTCAGTCTGCAGACCGACGCTCTATCCACTGAGCCAAACCGGTTCCGGCTGCATTTGCCTTCTTGAATTTTAATAGGATTTTCCAACAGTTGGCCTATGTTTGCCAGCTCGCACTGAGCCCTGAAAATCAGGTGGCCGGTCCTGCCCAGAGACCGAGGCTCTGAGGCTTGAGAGGGGATGTTATTTGCCCGAGATTGCACAGCTAGTGCCTGTCAGGGCTGGGATCCGAGGGCTTTCTCCTTTGCTACTTCACTGATTTAAAACAGAGCTCCGAAGAGCCTTGTGGGAGCTGCCCCACCAGGAATGAGGCCGATTGTGCTGTAGAAACACTGGTTTTTCTATAGAGATTTGCTTACGTTGTTGTTAAATAGTTTTGTGGTGACCCCCACACCGGCCAGTTGCCAACCCCCGGGAGCCAAACAGGCCAACCAGTTAGGTCAATGGGCTCCTTAGACTGCAGAGAAGGGAGAGAGACCACTGGATGAAGGGAACTATAATGATGCACAAAAAATTAAGGTGCTGGCCCACGGTTAGGGAGCCGGGAGGGTCCGGCTTAGCTCCTGGACCAGTTCCTGGCATCCCTCCCTGGGTAGCAGGGGTTCCTGGGTCCCCGCCTCAGCTCCTCCTGGCTTTGCTGTCCTGTGTGTCTCATGCTCCAGTGCCTGGAGTTCTTTATGTATTCTGGCTTCTGATCCTTTCGGTTACATGTGTTCATACCCGCCAGTGACTGGGTCTTCGGTCTGGGTTCTTTTAACAGAGCTGTGTCTTACGCAGTCTGGTCAGCCTTAGTTCGTCTTGAAGATATGAGCCATCTTCATAGACACATGCACACATAGAAACACATGCTTGTAGCATGTGCATTCCACTCGCAACTCTACCAGGACTTTGTCCCATCTGGCCCAGGCCCCCTGCTGGGCTGCCTACAGGTTGACCCGGGGGCCAGGCAGTGCCCTCTGGCTGTGTTGATATGGTCACAGGGCACCGGGCCGGTGTTGGCATGGTTACAGGGCACCAGCCTGGTGGCTTGGGCGAAGTTGCTTTTGGAACGGGGTGGAGGGAGTCCTGCCCAGGTCACTGTTTGGCCAGGCTCCCAGGACCGGCTCTGATCGAGTCGGCTGTCTTCGGAGGTGAGCTCACCGCCTCCAGAGCAGGACACCCTGCTGGCGGGAGAATGTTTGGGGGTGCCCCGAGACTGGCTGGCTCCCTGGTGACAGGCTCTCTCTTCCCTTCACAGCAGCAAACCCTCTGCTCTGCTCCACCGCCCGCTACCACTGTAAGAACGGGCTCTGCATCGACAAGAGCTTCATCTGCGACGGCCAGAACAACTGCCAGGACAACAGCGACGAGGAAAGCTGCGAGAGCTCGCAAGGTAGGGGCCGCCCGGCGCTCACCAAGCATCGCAGATCTCAGCCCCACCCACGGGCACCCAGGGAGGGAGGACAGACACCCGGGCCCACCTCCACACGTGCGCACTGTGTTCATGCTTGCACTTGACCCCACAGCCCTTACAGACATGGTGCCAACTACAAGCACCGTCCCTTTTGTTCTTCTCATGTTAAGTAGCATATGGGATGCCCTGCCCGCCTCTGCTGTGGCTTTCTGAGTCGCTGCATCATTCGGGGCCCTCAAGGCTGTTGGGTTTCTCATGCGAGATGAGTTCTGCGGGGTGGGCCATGGGTGTGGTGTGTTGGGAATCATTTTTTGGCTTCACCCGGCGGCTCGCATTGTCTGCACACGTCAGTTTTCCTGGGATACCCCAGGCGGTTTTCTCCGTTTTTTGCTAATTTTGCAGGCCCAGAACGATGGCTTCCCACATGCTTTCATCTGCGTTTCTCGGATGATGAGCAAAGCGGACATTTTCCGTGTGTGTGTGTGTGTGTGTGTGTGTGTGTGTGTTTCCTGTTTTCTCTGTGTGGGTCGCCTGCTCCTCTCTGGGCTCTCAGCCTCAGAGCTGTTTTCTGGAAGCCAGGATATGCCATTTGGGGCAGAAAGATGAGCATTTTAGAGAACACAGGAGGTAACCTGACCGGGTACCTTTCTTAACTCATTGACTGTTTTCCTGTAAACATGTAGTTTCTTCAGTGGTGAGGCCAAAATACAAAGACGTAAGAATGTACGTCCATTTTAAGGCAACCTAAGAAGTATATATTTTGGGTATAAACTAGTACCCCCTGAATGTGAGCTTTACCTTTTTATTTTTAATTGATGTTATATTACTGTGATTCACCCCTATTATAGTTTACTGGTAGAGTTCACTTTCTTGACTGTGATTCAGTATTCCACTGTGGGAATGTACCACAGTTGATAGACGTGATAAAACTGCAAAAAGAAAGGCCAGGGAAAGATGTGACTGGCCAGCTCCTGTCAGGAGGTGGGTTGGATGGGTGGGTTGGGCTCCATGAAGTCAGATGCAGATTCTTTTCAAGGTCCTGGCTTTTGTTTAAGTTGGTGCTTGTCATGTTATTAAAAATGAATGTGTGGGTCATTCATAGACCACTGGTGACGGTGGGTCACAAACCAGAGATGGTGTTCCACCCGAATCTGTACGCTCGAGGTCCAGAGACAACGACAGGCAAAATGTGCATCCACATAGCCTCGGCCGAAATGTGTGCAGAAAGCAGCTCTAGAGCTCATTCTTTTTTCTTTCTTTCTTTCTTTCTTTTTTTTTTTTTTTTTTTTTTTTTTTTTTTTTTTTTAATAATTGTGGCAAAATACACATAACATAAAACATACCACCTTAACCATTTTGGAGTGTACAGTTCAGTTGTGTTAAAGTACATTCACATCGTTGCACCCCTGTGTCTCCAGATCTGTTCCATCTCCCACAACTGGAACTCTGTACCCATTCAAAAAGGCCCCAGTCCCTCCTCCTGCCCCCAGCCCCTGACCCCCTCCATTCTCCGTTCTGCCTCTGTGAATGTGACTTCTCTAGGTATCTCATATAAGTGGAATCGCTCAGGATTTGTCTTTTGCTGACTGGCTTACTTGTTACTTAGTGTAATGCCTTCAAGGTTTCATCCGGGCTGTGGCAGGTGTCAGAACTTCCTTCCTTGTTAATTAAGGCGGCACGGAACTCCATTGTATGCCCGCACCACGTTCTACTTGCCCACTCACCTGCTGATGAGCATTTATGTTGCTTCTACATTTTGGCTACTGTAAGCAGTGCTGCTGTGAACACAGCTGTACAAACTGTGCCTTGCTTTTTAACAAAGATGACAGCATCAAAGCGGGTGGTATGTCGGTTCCAAGATTAGATTACACAGACTGGCATCTGCGCTCGTGCTCTCTCTCTCTCTCTCTCTCTCTCTCTCCCTCTCTCTCTCTCTCTCAGCTGCCATGTTTTCACCAGCCCCATGGATAGTCCCTGACCAATAGCCAGCAAAGAGCTGAAGCCTCCCAGTAGCCACATGGTGAGCTTGGAAATGGCTCCTCCTCTGGGGAAACCTCCAGCTATCCAAGGCCCAGCAGACACCTTGACCTTGGCCTCATAAGAGGTCTTGAGCCAGAGCTAAGCTGCTCCTGGATTTTGACTCAGAGAACCTGGGCGATGAAAAATGTTTAGTTTAGTTTGGGGTTGACTTGTCATGCATTGGTGATAGATCACTAATACACTGAACACCTCTCCCCCGGGCCCCAGTCTGACTGTCCTATCCCAGAGCGCCGTGGAGACGCAGGGAATGACGAGGCATCACCTCTGTGAGGAGGTCAGCTAGGGAGTTATAGGGACCGGCCAGACTGAGCACTGACCGAATGGCAGGCACCAGTCCCGGTATTTTACCGGCATCATCCCTCAGTCCTCAGAGTCCCCGAAGAGGGGCCATCTCACAGAACATGAGCCCGTTTTCTAGATGGAGAACCCGAGAAACAGCGATATGTCCACAGCTGTGCCATGTCCACAGCGAGGGGTGGTGAAGCCAGGACGGGAACTCGGGCCGCTCAGTGTGCAAAGCAATGCTCTCCGTGGCCCTCCGTGGCCCCCATCGCTCCGATACTGCCGTCTGGTCATCACGGCGTTGAGCCCGGAACACCAGGCCCAGCTCTGGGTCCCGTGACCCGCAGGGGCGGTGGGTTTGAAGATGGGCACGTGGTCCCACTCTGTGTACCCAGGTTGTTCTCTCGAGAGGAAAGACCGATGCTGCCTGCTGCCTGCCTACAGGGGAGGGACGTTGGGCGTTCTCCCTCCCACAGAGGCACCTGGCGGGGGGGACTGCGTGTCTTGGCTGCGGGTTGCAGAGCCTTTATCTGGCCTGCTGCATTTTGGTGATAACGCCTCAGGAGCCTTTGGAAAGCCGCTGAGGGGCTTGGCATCTCATCAAATGCTAACAGTGCCAGCGTGTGCTGTTTCTTCTGCAAAAGTGTGTGTGTGTATGTGAGAGAAAGAGAGAGAGAGAGAGAATAAGAGACAGCTCTGTGCCTTTGGAGAAGGGAAGCGTGGCTCCCCTGGGGTGGGCAGTGAGAGTAAGCTGGGAGGAGCCGGGGAGATCAGTAGTGGCCGGTGGATGGGGGCCCAGGAAGCCACAGTAAGGATTTTGAACTTGGTCCTATGGGCAGTGGAAAGCCACCAGGAGACACATAGAGGTGAAAGCCGCAGGGTGGACAGGGCCATGGCTTCAGGGAGTATTTGAGGCTTGGATCGTGAGATTTGGTGACAAAATGGGTAAGGGTTGCAGGGGGTCAGAATAGCTATGGCAGCGTGCATGGCACGGGGATGCTGATCCTAGGGGCTGGGAGGCTGCCCTCCGACGGGCCGGCTGTGCGTGCTCCCTGTTCCCGGCTCCCCCAGGCGAGCTGGTGAGAGTGAAGGAGGGATGCTTTCGGAAGACACCTTTGCTTCCTGTAGCAAGATACACCCACTCGCAGCCCAAGCTCATTTCTAGAGAAATCATGGTGAGCAGTCAGATAGGAAAAATGCTAATTTTTAGTTTTTAAGTATGAATGGGAAAGATGATAGACAGATAGATAGATAGATTTGAAAGTAGTTGCATTTTAGGAAGCTTTTTTTTTTTTCTGCAAGGGCCAGTTGGATATTTATAACCTCGTTCATGGGCCAGTCATTTAAATTAACTCACTCCTCATGCCTTGGTAGGGCCAGACCAAATGATTGCTCGGCCTTATATGGCCCTCAGACCAGAGGTTCCCCATCCCTGCTTTAGGTGATCCCACCCAAAATGTCACAGCGTAGAATTGGTTGGGTGGTCAGTCTTTTTTTTTTTTTTTTTTAATTGAATTTTTACAGAGAGGAAGGGAGAGGGATAGACAGCTAGAAATATGGATGAGAGAGAAACATTGACCAGCTGCCTCCTGCACACCCCCCACCGGGGATGTACCCACAACCAATGTACATGCCCTTGACCGGAATTGAACCTGGGACCTTTCAGTTCTCAGGCCGACGCTCTATCCACTGAGCAAACCGGTTTCGGTAGGTGGTCGGTCTTTATCCCGACATTCCTGGCCGCTATGTGATGTCAGGAGAGGCCCGGGGGAAAAATCACCACCTCAAAATCATTTATTTGCCTCCACTCAGAAGGAGACTGCTGGAGGAATGGGAAGCCTTTCTCCACTTTAACTCCAGCATGTGGAGGCCCAGCTGAGCTGGAAAAATTGTTAGAAGAAGCAGGAGGAGGTTGGAGGGGTTGGTTGCTGCCTTCCAATACCTGGGGGTGTCTCCTTAGCGATTGGGTGTTTGCATCACCAGATCGTGCTTACCGTTAGCCACGGCAACAGGAATTGCAGGAATCCTAACGTGCCACTTATCCGAAGACAGGCAGGATTCTCCCCAGGACGGTCACTGCTTCCTGATCTCGTAGCCAGCGTGCTAATCTCAGAGCTCTTTGTTTCGTCTCCCCTATTCCTTGTGCCTGTCGCCCCTCTCTGCCATCTCTTGGCCTCCAGCTTTAACTACTCCTCCCTCCCCTGGGCATGTGGTAGAGTCCGGCCTGGACACCAGCAGAGTGTGCCTCCTCTGGAGGCGACCGACCATGTTTCAGGGCCGTGGGACCGAGTGTGGGCTTTGCCGTCTGCCTGCTCTGCCGGTTCTTAAGCCACGAGACTGCTGGGCTGGGCTTACGTGGGGGCCTTTATCCTTCCACTTCGTGGACAGCCAATGGCCCTCAGATCCCTACCCTGCCCCCGACTCATTTCTTCTCTTGACTCTTCTTCATATTCATTCAAACTCCAGTTATTTGCGCAGCCCCTGCTATGGCCCGGCCCCACCCAGGTTCTGGAAGAAATACAGTACAAACTCAGGTCCAAGGGGCTCCCTGTCTGCAAGGGAAGAACACATTGCCCTACAGACAATGACCCTAACGCATGGTACATGCTATGGTGGAGCCAGCAGCAGGCTGTGGGAGATGTAGGACGTGAGGGGCA